CTGCAAAGGTTAGAGTGGTGCACGGCATTGTTCCGAAACGCATTACTCCGAAAAGCACAGTTCCAAAAGGACTGCGCATCTAAGGCACTACTCCGAAAGAATGTGCATGGCCAGTCACTGTTCCAAGAAAATGTACACGTCCAGGCACTTCTCCGAAAAAATGTGCACGACTCCGAAAGGCACTACTCCGAAAATGTGTTTCGAAACAGTGTTTTATGGAGGTATGCCTTACTTTGATTAGAGATGACACCACTCTCTAGCATCACGTCTAACTACAACCACACAAGAAACTGAGGTAGCAGAGGACACAACGCCACCTCCTCAACCAGACGATTGTTTGCTAAGTACGCCACAGGCGGCGCCACTATCCATCTACGGGCGACACCATCTACAATGCCCAGCAACAAATCTTCCCTGCAATGTTCCACTGTTCACTTTTATTCTCCAACTGTTTTAAAACAGCAATTCGAAACCGATTTTAAATTGTCGATTATAAATATTTATGCGGCTAATAAACTAACTACGGGACATGAGTTTGAATAATGTCCCCTTGTAGGTAAACATCCATAAAACAATAAGACGATTAATCGCGATGGCTGCTAGAGGAGACATATTTTATTGCGACAGCTGTTGCATTAATCCCGGCCGTTTCCGCTTCCTTCTGTCACTTTTATCACCTATTTCGTCAGCACTAAAATAGTAAGTAGCTCCGGAGTCGTAGCGTCAGCTGATTGTCAACGTGTTATTTAGTTACAAAGTTTAAAACTTGCTATTTAGTTACAAAGCAAAGTATTTATCTTTGAAGAATACGTTTTCAAAGATCTTGTGTACCACAGGTATCGCAATTATGAGCTAAAATTACGCCACACGTCTATAGCACGTCGTATTCCGATAAACAATGAACTATTAAGAACTGGCCTCTTTCCAAATACTGTAGGCTACTGTAATATTATCCAGACTAATTATGAGGTTTTTTTTTTAATATATATTTATTTTCCTGAAGTTGGAGAAAAACTTCCATTACACAACTATATCGCAATTCAACAACTAACCAACATTACATCAAAATCCACGCATTTGTAAAAAATGCAAATTCGAACCCATTCAACAGACCCACCTTTAGTGAAAGCGGTAACAAATGCTGCCAACTGTATTCATACCTGAATAAATAATTGTTTGGATGTTGGCCACCCTGTGAGCCAGATCGCCACTGTACACCGTGCCTACACACTACATACCGTGTCGTAAACACGGCCTTGTTTTACGACATTTTGCCATTTGTTCTCGCGGTTACGGCCGCCATTACATTTTACGACGGAGAGTAGTCATAAGCCGCCATTGGTTTACACCATGTGGCTTTCATTAGGTCAAATCTGCGTTCTAGTTTTATTTCTGTTTGGGAACGCGTGGATGTGCGCTGAATCGGTTTGTGTATAAGTGTTCATAAAATTATTTTAGTTGGGTGACATTTTATATTTGGTAACCATATTACCAAATGTAAAATGACACCCAACTAAAATGGGTGTATTATAATAGTTAGTACTCAAAGCTAAGGGATGTCTGGATTAAAACTATGCCATAAAATGTAAAGTAGTAAGTCTGTGTAAGGGGAAGGGTAAGGTGTTAAGTAGTGTAGCATGTTAAGAAGTCTATGCGAATAAATTAACTGTAACTAAGAAACATCGTTCCATATCTATGGGTTTGGTTAAATATTCAACTTTAATTCAATAATACCCAGGCACTGAATAAGTATTTTCTTAAAAAAAAACATACTACAACACCATAGAATTCTACGAAGACCACTATAGAAAACAGTGCAGTTTAAACGGGAAAGGCAACTAGCACAATGCACAAAACTTGATCAAATTCATATTTAGGAAGGGTGGTAAATCAGTTTAGAAAAGCAATTCTTGTGAAGAAATTCCTTTCTAAGAGCCCTAACCTGTTTTGTACACCAAACAAACGAGATGATAATCGAAAACATAGAAAATACTATGTTAGAATCTCGAGGTGAAAGTAGCCACTGAAACCGTAAAATACTGTTATATAGCAAAATAATATTAATGTTGAGATTTTACTAAATCATATTTTAACAGTTAGGTTCTGAAGTAGGAATTAATTAAAGAAATTGACGGTAAAAATCAAAAGAGGATGCCAATCGCGATTGCCACTAGAAAACAGCGGAAGTGAATAGCGAATATCGAACGGCCAATATCGATAGTGAATATCGGATATCGAACCGTTGAGGAACGGTTATTGCCAGTGAGCGGAGTACCAATGATGGTTCATTAGCATCATACAAGTCCCAACTTGTTTAATTAACCTACCTCGCCTTATACGGACCACATAAATTTAAATTAGATGATTTATTCAATAAATTTAAATTATTTTGCTCTTCATTATACTAACAATCATTGTCTGAGCATTGGAGTTTCTCCTTAGAACGGATTAATAATTTTTGTTATCCGGCTCGAAGGACCAACAGAGTTTTCGCCTTGTTTATAATTTAACGACGATAATTATTAGTGAGCGTTTTACTAACAAGTTTGAATATTTTCGGTTTTAATATGTTAAAAGGTTGATTCTGACCGTGACCATGAAATCGAAAATTATAGCTCCTTGTGATAATTTTTAAACTATGCATGGATTTGGATAGTGGATAAAGAATTTTAGGTTAAAAATGACTTGAGTTGCAAAATTGATTATTTTCATCCACACGCACAATTTTTGTGTACTCAAGTAGTCAAGTCACAGGATAATAACCGTCTTTGATAGAGGTTTTTGTTTAATCAATTTGCCAGACACTGTGAAGGTTGTTAATTAATATTAAATTAGCCAAATATAGTAAAGTTGTATAACAGAATTGATGGATCCAAATTGCCAAGTTAGAGCACTGTTAATGATGGTAATCACTGTTTTATACATAACGTAACTTTATTGCTTATTAAGGAGATAAAAAAGTCATTTAGAATAATTTAAGGATGATAAGGATTTTTTTATTTACAAAATCAAGTCATTAGTTTTTTTAGTTCAAGCCACTAACCGTCGAACACAATAGGTTGTGTTTGCTACATTCTTATAACCAAGATCAAAGAAATTGATTTTACTATATAGCTCTAAATTGATCGATTTTAAAATTTTATAGCAGCTTGAAAATTAGACAACATTTTTAGGAACTTGTTCATCAGTATTATGGTGAGAGAGTTTACACTTTAAGTGACTTTTGTTACTCAGCTTAGCAAGCAAACATTACAAAACAGAAAGTAAATAAAATAACCCGTCACTTGCACACCCAAATAAACTAAGTTTTGGCATATTTGCATTCATAAAGCTTGCCCTATGAAAATATTTTGTACCACTGAAGAAATGTCCTCAACCAAAGCGTGATTCTACTTATCAGACAGCGCGTGTGAACTGAGATAAGCAAAAAATGCCACGTATTTTATTGCAAAACACTTCATAAAACACCTGCGATATGGAATGTGATAAGTTCTACGATACAACATACAAAACAGCGCGGTATGCACACAACCACTGCAATATACACTATGACATTAACATTCTTTCTGAACAAGTGGGAAACAAATTAACTTGGCTGGGGTTATCGGGGAAATTTTCCGAACGCGATTTGATTTTACATATAAAAGACCGAGAACTCGAATTGTCGATTAGTATTCATGCAGGCTCTGCTCAATACAGCCGGCGCTGAGCAGTTTGACTCGGCCAATAAAATGGTAGAGATCCCGGGAATTCTCGGATCGTGGTTGTATGGGGCAGATAGGAGACGATGGGATAGTGCGAATGGCTTTATTCATTATCCACTGTTTTCAAGGCGCATCGTGTCAAGGGTTGGGTGTCAAATTTATAGATGGCGTAATGGAAAAATACATTATGTTAATAGTAATCTTTCAAATGCAAATTATGATGTGTTTCCACGAAATCTGTTAGTATTTCCGTCCCTACAGGTACAGTGGTACAGAGCAATGCTGACTTTGCTGACCCTGGACGAAAACTTTCTTATCTTTACTGACTCAGCGTCAGCCGTCGGTTTCTGCTTATCAACTCGCAGGTGAATGATTCACACATTCATTACGAACTAGTCAACCAATGAGCTCATTTATAAACAAAATAACAATCATATCAAAACTTTGTTAACATTTTCAATACAGTCGTGTACAGCATAAAACTTACTAATTTTAAATAAACGAATAAAAATATATATTCTGACGATGGAGTTTTATTTCATAATCAATGCAGCTTTTCGATATAAACTTGATAAACAGTATTAGATTTTGTTGAAGATTTCTGATAATATGTTGCTGTAGTTGTGAAGGAACATGTATCAGCTATTTGAAAGGTTTGGCTCAAAAATCTATTGCGTTGGCAAGTCCTACTTTTTCGGAACCAAGAAACTCTGAGATTTGGTGCTATTTTGAAGTTTAAATTTCAGATTGCTATTTTAATTCCGAGAAAAACTAGGGAAAAAGTTAATATAGTAATACGTATGGTTATTTTTAAGTACTGTAGGGTTTCTTAAAGGTGATGAAAAATAAAAATTGCTGCCAATCTGTAATGGATTTAGATATAGACCTCTAGTTTTCACCAATACTCTTTTTAACTGATGACCTTTAAAATGAGGTGTCACTTGTTTGGACTTTACATTTAAAGTTTTAAGTTGTCCCCGAAATACCCCAATTTTGGGGTTCTCGGAAAAAGTTGGTAACCCGTACAAAAGTACACTTTTATGCCATATAGAGGTGTAGTGTTAGGTTTTCCTGGTGTAACTCATAAAAAAAATAATAGGGATTGTCCATACCTTTGCCCAACTCTGTACAGATGAGTAGCTGAGTAGATACAGTACTCACATGATAAAATAAAATAGTTGCCAGTTTAATCCTGAGAACAGTCAGAAATTGATTGAGGGTTCAAAACTAGACCTAGTTGTCCGTGACGATTGAGTTAATAACAAGCATATCATCAGTATATCGGCGTGTACTTACCAGGGGTGAGTAGAAGGCGGAACTGTCGATGCTGGGGTACGGGTTCTGGTCCGTGGAGGGGTAAGGAGCGCCGTATACAGCGGCCCTGGGGTAGGAACTGAGTGCGAGGCGGGCAGAGTCGTACTGGCAGGAACAGACCGTCTGTCCGGACACAGGGTCCGTCATGATGGGGCGGCCATTCTCGCAGCAGGAGCCACCCCCGGAGGCAGAGCCCGAGGGAGACACCGCCCCCGTGGACACGCTACCGCCCCCGGTGGCTCCGGCACCCGCCCCCACTGGCGGAGAGACGGAGCTCGCCGGCTGACCCGAGACTAACAGCTGAAACAGAGAGTGAGAGTCAGAGCTTGGTGGAAGTTCAGGGTTAGTGGAGAGTACAACAACAATGGTTAGTAATGTTTAACTAGAGAATGGCTTCAGGAGGCATAAGGAAGTTGATCCGAACCTGGAATTACAGGGTTGGTAAAGCGGTTCAAAATGGATATATACACACAGACATAATGGTAATTTTAACACAATATAGATACTTAAGGTAAATTTGGAAAAAGTAAAGGGAAGAGAACGGATGGACCTGATGAATTGGTATAAACGTTTCAATGAGAAGATGTGCAACATAGAACTAATAGTAAACAGTACAAAGCTTACAAGTCAAGTCAACAGTATGGTTTGAAGGGAGATGCGGTATAGAAAATGATATAGGGATCATGAAGTAGAGGATACAGTTATGTTTTCAATACGTAATCATGAGTTATTTATGAGCACAAAGGATATAAATTATGGGAAGGTGTAAAAGACGTAGTAAACGAACGTAGTAAAGTGTAAAAGAAAATAGCAATCAAGACTAACATAATAGAAAAAAAACAAACAAGCAAGAGTTAAAGGTAACGCCGTCGAGAGAATATGAGAAGACAAAGCACCTGGTACAGGAGAAAGATAAGTTAGATATTGAGATGAAATAAAAGAAGTGAAAGAAGAAGAAAAAGAAGAGGATTGAGCGATGGTCAAAAGAAGCTGGAAAGTGGAAGGAGTTTGAACGTATAAAATATGTAAGACAAAAAAGTAATTAGGAAACAAATTATGAAAAAGTCCAATACCACCTTACAGGGAATTCGATAATGTGGAAGTTTAAAATCCAAAAGGCAACTGACAACCCTGAAAAAAGTTAAAGAGCGGTCGCTAAAAAAATATTATATTTTTTAGTAAAACTTATAATTATAAAATATTGACATACACTATCAATTAAATCGGTATAATCAGAAGAATAACTAGACAAATTATTGGAAACAGAGCCCAGCAAAAATTAATCGTGTTTAGTCAGAGGACAAAGAGGCTGTTTATTATTGTGTCAGACCGTATTTGGATAACAACGTGTTGTTTTGTAAACGCGCTTAATAAATCTGCGGATAAACCTTTTTGCCTCACTTACTTGATAGAGGTGTTCGATTATTCAAATGAATTTACTTTAAAACGTATTATTGCTCAGTCGTTTGTTTGCTTTAAAATAATTCAGTTTAATCGAGAATTAAAAGAATATTTTGCTGTTCTACCTACAATAAACCTACTGATGGCGTATGATGTGAAACTGTACTGTATTCATCGTATTTCAATGTTTTAAAAGTGTATTCTAAACCAAATTTTTTTACCCAATAATATTTTTCCAATGTGGATTTGACTATACAACCAATGCTGTCACCGGGAGCACGTTTGATACACTTGAAGGTTCTAAACAGTTTACTATCTGTGAGTACTCCAAAGAAATCTACATGGAAAAAATCTTACAAATTATGAAAAGAATGTTTCCACAAATTAAAAATATGAATAAAGAATGCGAGGCTTTTGATAAGTAATCTTTCTCCAGAGTGGCGTGTATTTCGACTGTAGCGATCAATCAAAGTCATATGAGCTATGAGTGTTTTCTCTCTGATTTTAGTTTTGGCGTTGAGACAACTGCCATAATAAACATAAGGTTTCGCGGGTTTCAAATGAGTTAGGCTTACTCTTTTGATACTAGGCTTTTTAATTTTTGAAAATAGTCTCTTTACCAATCCAAACCATCATACCACCACAGATTAAAAAGAGTAGACACCACAGATGGTAATATACAGTAGAATACTTTACTAGACTCAAAAAGGATGCTAGTATATTTATTTGTGTTTAAACTTCACAATTGAAGAGGAGAAAATTATTATAAAAGTAGACTAATCAAAAACAAACCATCCAAAAGATTAAATCGATCGCGATTGCTATATCAGTTATGTTTTGCAAAGCTAAACATCGCGAATTGCAATATTTGTGTTGGTGCAACACAATTCACACTATTTGTGTTGGGGCAACACAAGCTGCATTTGTGTGGCAAACAGTCACCTCATCCATCTCTAGGCAAGTGGGCAGCAATTGGGGTGATTAAAAGCAGCTGAGCTGGATAGCAGGTGTTTAAAAAACCGGCATGAATATTATAGGTCGAAAGTTTGTAATGGCATAACGAGCTCCTGAAATACCAACAATTATTTCATCTTACCAAGGTGGTGTTTTTGTTTTAATCAACTCTAACCGTGAATTTGTAAGGTGAAATTCCAACGAGGGTAATCAAAATTAGGAGGGAAAATCATATTTTTGTAATTGTACGAAATAAAGTGAGATTTACATGGTTGGAATTGGGAATTAAAAGGTGAACTTTGAATTACGAGGTTTGATTTGTAATCGTAAAATGTTTATCGCATTATTAAAAAATAATATCCCTAGAAAAACATATGTTTCTTGTCTCAGCAGTTCTCAACTCATCAAATCTGCTAATCAATTTGATACACGTCTCAGATAAAAAAAAACATGTCCAATACAAAACCTTAAATAACAGCGTGACAGGTTCACCAGATGATATTATACGTAGGAATATAAATTGTACATGGGCACATTTCCTTGAGAAACCCGCAAAATACAACCAGAAAGGGTGTTGGAAACGTTATGAGTCAGCCAGGCTTGGGATTTAGACGTGTTATTTCGGTTTTTAGATTACAAGGTTGTGCCTTTACAACTATGTTCGGAAGCAGGCATTTCGCTTGCGTGCAAGCAAGACGGTCGTGCGTACCTGATAATTTGTATAAACTGTAATACGCGGTTGGAAAATATACGTTTGGTGACATTGATGTTAATCTGACGTTTCGTGTTTCATCTCAAGATTGAAAAGTTAAAAGATTGTCGGTTAAATAGCTTAACTATTCACTTCATTGTTTTATTGGTGTTAAGTACGTTTGTAAACTTTAGGGTAAAGTAAAGTGATGTTTTAACACTGCGAGAATCATTCTCGAATAAGTGACAGAAGATTTTGTCTTCGAATGATACTTTTCAAGACACTGTCTTTAACGTAGACGGGTCAAGGAAGAGAGCATTTTTGTAGAGCAGAGTAGACTTGGTTTAAACTTGACGATTATTAGATTACAATAATCAGTTATCAGTTGAGGTATAGAGTTATTTCTAGGGGAGGATTATTCCAGAGGAAATGTTAGAGAGAATGTGCTAGAAAAGTGTTAGAGAAAACAGTTCTAATACACTCTTCTACTAGTAGACTTTCTCTGTGTGAAAATCTTGCGCGGAATAACCCGTTGTCTGAAAGAGCATTTTCGAGGCGAAGCACCTTTTACTAAAAGAGAGCAATTCCAAATCTGAACCTTTTTGGGAAAAAATTACTTTTTCTCCATATAATAACATGTTTTCGCATATGGAACAAAAATTTAAATTAAACCTTAGTTTTAAGAATTGGACAATTTGAGGACACTATTTTTAGACATCTGTGTCGGTTTCGGTTTCCAGCTAAAGGCGGGTTGGCGAGCGCGCGCTAACCAACGCGGCCTCTAACTAGCGCAAACACAAACAAACACACAAACAAACATAACACCTGTTTGTACCAAAATTCTGAGAACAAGTCAGGTAATGGGTTGAGCAAAGCGTCAAGGCGACACCAGCGAGTGACCTGTCGCTCGGGAGTTGTAACTGGAGCTCTGTACAGTGTACAGGCTTGCAAAGACCGTTGAGATTGTATTTAGAATGTTTGCACTCATAGGTATGTCGTTTAATTGACTAATTGAACATATAATTGTAATTCATATGTAACAAACTTAGGCCTGTATTTATCTGCGTTGCATGTTGGTGCGCTGTAGAGTGACTGTCGACAAAATTATTCTTTTTGATTTTAGATTCAAATTTACAGTTGTTCTTCACTGTTGGGTTAAGATTGCTGTACACCGGAGGGTGCATGGTTAAAAATTAGCACTAAGAAAAGTATTGTATTATATTGTGTCAAGAGTGGTTCATCGTGTCAACACTGGGTTCTCGCTGAAAATATACTTTTCTTCATTAATTAAAAAAATACTAGCGAAAACATATTGGTTGTCAACGAAATTCATCTGTAGATCTTAAAAATATTTCCAACATACACTCTTTAAAGCCATAACGTTTTCCCTGATTTCCCTCACTTTCTAAGGGAGTAAAATAAAAACAGCGATATAATTATATTCGCTGTAAAACGCAGAAAGTGCTCGTAAGAAAATTACGACGACGCGAAGGGCTTTTAGGGCTGCTACAAGCTGTTATAATTAAGCAGCCAGCGGTTGTCGGGATTTTTAAGATCTGCGATGCCGCATAAAGAATTTTATCCTCTTTTGATGTCGGCGTAAGGGTAAACTGTGGTCGTTGAAACCGCGCCCGTGCCAACCCTTTGTGGAGGGCGGGCTCGCAATGAATCCATTGTGGTAATTATTTCATTTTTTGCTTCGTTTTTACGTGACCAAAATACCCGCATGAAATATAATATCTACGGACAGTACTGTGAATGAAGTACTGTGTTACTGGTTTATTTGTATAGGTGGAGTGTTTGTGGGATGGATATGTGATTAAAATAAGTATGAAACTCAAAAACTATGTATTTTAATTATTCTGTCATTTTAAAATATATAACATTGCACAATTACTCACTGAGATGGCATAGTGTAAGTTTTGGAGGAGTAATTTAGATTTGTGTAAGACAAATTAATGCAAGTACAAATAGCTAAAGGTGTTTCTAGAACTTTAAACTTTGGCGGTTGGCTGAACAATACGTAATACACAATATACCTGGTATTTAAAATAACGATAGCCAAGAAGATAAGAACTATTAGGCTACCTATATGTATTTCTAAATCCTTGTAACATTCATTTCTATTGTGTCCAAAATTAGAAGGTATTTTGTAAAACTACAATATTATTTCAGATAGGAAGTGTAAATTGAAGTTAAATGTGGAGTAAGTATATCATTCATTCCCTCATCACATGACTGAAAACAATTCAAT